TCTAACAAATGAATAGTCAAGGTATAGACTTCATACCTTAATATGATTGCCTTAACAGAGAAGCCCATGGGTCCAAAGCTTCTTCCTTCAAACAAGCACCTCCAACTTCAACTCCTTCAAGAAATTACCAAAGAATCACTATATTTTCACTCCTACACACACAAGAGGGCTCAAGATCGTGAATTAGGGTTTAATGGACTGAGGGGGATGATGAGGGAGGCCACAATGAGGCATTAAGGTCCTTAAATAGGGTAGAAACCCTGAAACTATGGTTTCATTTCTGCTAACCTACTCGGCGAGTTGGGGCTCCCCAACTCGTCGAGTAAGTTTCTTAACCCGCGTCCACCAAAATAATTCATAGTCGACGAGTTTGGGGCCTCCAACTCGTCAAGTCCCTCTTCAATAATGGATGAATTGTTTTAAAAACACACTCTAGGAACCGAGCGTTACAACTACTTTACCATGTTTGTTTATCGTTTTTTCCGCGTATTGTCTTCCATGCACTTGCTTTAAGCCCACAACTCTCACGGCCATTAATGGTTAGTTTGTGGATACATGCTTCAAGAAAGGTTTTGTCCTCACATTCGTTCCAAACCACATCCTAAAACATAAATATTCAACTAATTTAAATCATCACCAAGGTATTAGCATAATTAATGAAAAAGGTGTGAACCATTTATCACTTATAATTTTATAATTAAAAAGGTGTGAACCATTTATCACTTATAACTTTATAACTTTTATAAAGTTATAAAACTTGTTTGAAACGCTTTATCATAACTTTTATAAATATGCGAACTAATTTATAACTTTTGGGGTCTTATGAAACTTGTTTGAATAAATATGTCATGATCAAATTTTATAAGTTATCAAATCAAAATATTATAAAAGGGGTATCATTTGCTTCTTATCAAAATTTATAACTTTTATAAAGGTGTGAACTAACTGCTGACCAAGATCAAGATCATAAAGTTGTGTATGTATGTGTTCGGGAATGTATGAATTTTAAATGAGATGAAACTTGACTTTGTGAACATTTATAGTGGTGTTCATCCATTGTGCTCTTAACCTAATCTTCATATAGCTTTCAAGTATGTATATGTTTAGGTATTCACACAAACACTCACAAATAATCATACATAAATCAAGTGCAAAATAAATGGAGTGATGGAGTGATCAGTGGGTGGATTTTAAAATCAAAACCTAAACATTCAACAGCAAAATCAATTGACCAGCAAACATGCAAGATCAAAACCAATTGAAAGTTTTACATAAATCAAGAGCAAAATCACCAAACATGAAAGCTTTACCAAATAAGAAGATGCAGAAGGCATACCTGATGAGAAGACGCAGAAGGCGTCGACGGTGGTTGTTGGTTGCAGGAGAAGAAGTAGGGCTATGGAGGCGCTGAAAGAGGAGAAGAAGTGGTGCTATGGAGTCGCTGAAAAGAGGAGCGTTAGGGAAATGGAACAATTAGAAGACGCTTCTCCCTTTCCCAAGCAATTACCGTCTTCTTATCAAGTCAGTTTCACTCTCTGAGTTAGGCACCAAAAAATGGTTAACCAAACAGCTTTAGTTGACCGAGTCAACAAAAAAATGTCTAACCCGACTCGGTTTGAAGCATATCAAACACATCCTTACTATTGTTCATTAATAAGTCTAAGGGTGGCAAATATGTACCATGGAAAACCAACCAACATGTGTACCAACCGAACCAATTATATTGGTAGTCAATATGTTTGATAGCCAACATGTTTGGCTGGTAGTACCATATCAATTAATTAATAATGGTACAGTAATGGTACAAAGTTTTAAATGTCACGGTATTACCGTACCAACCAATTTATTTTTCATATAAATAAAATATTGCATATTTTAACTTTAAATGTATTTAACGATTAAGAGTTCAAGTGCTTTCATATTAGCATTTACGGTCTAGTAACTTTTAAAGTTTAAACTCATATTAACATATCCCATTTACTCTATTGTTTAGTTTAAACTCATGGTACAAAATTATAAAATCTTTTTTGTATCGAATTTGCAATCCAACCATTCAGAAAACTCTTATTTACAAAACTCACATGTATCTTTTAAGTGCACAATATCATATATAAATCTTAATTCGTAAAACATTCATACATGTTGGTATATACCATTACCAACATGTACCAACCGAACTTACTGGTAAGCAATTAAGTTGGTACCAACTGTACTTGATACGGTAGTGATAACTAAAATTACATACCAATTCTAATTGGTACGATACACGGTTTGGGAAAAAAATATCTGATACCGTACCAATTTCACCCTTATTAATAACGTATGACCTGTTTAGAAGAAAAAAAAATCCAATAATTACAAACAAAAAGCTTGTTTATAAATCACAAGTCCCAAAAATAAATAAACTTTTTAACGATTATATAAAGTTGTTTAATTCAACCATTAATGAATAATCTAGTTACATCATAGACACTATATTCTTAATCGTCTAAGCTATTTCCGTGGCATCATTATAAAACTATTTTTCATCTTCATATCAAGTAACTCATCTCACTCTTGGCACTAACCAAGTATTTTATTTGGATCATGTGTAAAAATAGTTTGTTAAGCTTTGAAGTCTAGTAAGTGATATTAGACAACATACTATACATAAGATAATCATATTTATGTATTTCAACAAACTTTTTCACTGTTTCACAATAAGCTTTTCACTTTAACAAACATTTGGGAAAAGCGTTGTATTTCCAACAATATACACCGAATGTAAAATTCGTTACTCATATGTAATCGATATATGATGCAATGCATGTTATGAAATAGTAATGCCCAATCCCCAATTGACTCATGAATAAGTCAATTTTCGTAGTCAACTAAGTGGTTTCCACATATAAAGAGTGACTATTGACATTTTATCACAAAACAAGCAATCACATAAGTAGTTTCAAATCAAATGACATGTAAACTACTAACACATGCACCACACATACGGGTTTGCAAGACCTAAGTGAAATATACAAAGACTTTCAACACTCACTAAATTGCCTCCCATTCTCCCAAAATCATTGTGAGAAGACCACACTTTCAACTCATCCAATCATAGCATAAGTGAAATGCCACATGCCCACACGTACAGGTTTTTGCTTTCATTAGTCTTTAAAGCATAATTTAAGGGTTTCTTTTCGCACCCAAAGGCATAAGGGTAGATAGAGTCGTGATGATGATAGGGTAGATAGGTGGTGGTATTGGATAAGAGCAAGACGAGGTGCCACATTTAAGAAATAAAGCAGGTTAGTAAACTCGATGGCTCTCTATTTCTCTATACGCTCTCTATGTTGTGGTTACTTGTACTTCCTATATAAATACTTGTACAAAAATAGTTTTGTATGTTTTTAATATTTTGTTAATTGGTTTTATATGTTTTTAATTAGTTTGTATTTATTTAAAATAAAAAATTAAATGGGTTGGAAATGACAGGAAATATAGGTTGTGTGACGTTGGATCAGGGATGTAAGAGTTGAACGTAAGAAATGAAAGGAAAACTAATAAGAGTAATATGATAAGGGAGTTAGAAGGGAACGATACATTTTACTCTAAGGTCATCCATATTCATATTCATGCAATATCAGCAATTATATCTCATATCAATGCACTTCTAATCATTTCTTAAAAATGTTCCCTACTGCGATATCAACAACCACTTCATATTTTAACAAAAAACATCTTATTATATATATATATATATATATATATATATATATATATATATATATATATATATATATATATATTAAGATCCAACCTCGGCAACATAATTCACATCTACCACTCTAACCCTCTTAGATACCGGCGCGACAAGTCTATTATAATCATAAATGATTATGTAGCACCGCCCGTTCCTTTCACCTCCACGGCTTCACCATATTTCCCACCACCACAATCGCCACCGCCACAGCTACTACCACCAGCCGATCCCACTGAACTGAGAAGTGTTGTAAAACTTACCGAGTTAGCCGATTACTCCTCTGAGTACTTGCTACTCGGCCCCTTACCGAGGCAAGTTACAGAATCTCAAGTACTCCCTTATAGACCTTTACTGAACTGAGAAGTGTTGTCAAACCCAATCAACTCAGTGATTAATATGTATAATATATTTAAAGATTTATTATTTAACACACATATGCGATTAATACTATATATATATATATATATATATATATATATATATATATATATATATATATATATATATATATATATATAAAATCGCATATGTAGTAATTATTCACGGATTGAAAAAATTATGTGTTTTTCAGTTTGTGTATTTACTCACATAAGTTTGTTATATATTTCAACCAACTTATGATTTTGACATATATAAGTTTCCTACAAATATTTCTACATGAATTATCGAATCCAAGTACTCCTGGGTATTCGTTACTTGGTAATCGGCTGAACAGGTATGGCGTTCTACAACCATGCCACCATCACCTCTACCACCGACAGTTCTTTTGCCGGTACTTTAGAACGTTAGAGTAACAAATGATAAATATATTAAAATCTCTATTTTTTTAATCTCAAATAAACCGTCATATATATATATATATATATATATATATATATATATATATATATATATATATATATATATATATATATATATATGTGTGTGTTAGGTATACAATGTTTTGAACCCTTTTCTTGTATGAATTTTACAGCTGGACAACTCTCATTGGTGGTTGGTTTATTACAAGGTTGTCAAGATCCAAATCCTATGTAAAATCATTTTTGGGTTTGTAAAACCAGAATGAAGATCCTAAGATCCACAAAATAAAACATAATTTTAACTTATAATTTTAAATCACGAAAAACTATCTTGGGTATATTTCCAATGTTTCTTCCATTAGGAGTTTCATTGTATTCAATGTCGAATAATTATATTACTTTTTATGCATCACATCCAGAAGCATGTATGGTCCCCAGGGTTTATATTTTCCTGTTAACATTTATGTTCTCAAAATTTAACAGAAACAGAGAGATTAAGTTTTCTAAGACCAAAATACATAATTAAAAAAAAACAACAGAAACAACATACATATTCCTACATGTTATGCAAGCAACATGAAACATATCTAGAATATTATCTTAAGCCAAAAAAAAACACTTAAAAATAATGCAAATATAAATGTGCATTTCAATTACCCTATGATTTTTGTCCTTCCTCTGCAGCAGCCTCAAAAGTCTCCCCTGCCACAAGTTCCGGGACTTCATCATCATCATCCGCTTGTGCTGATGTGGCGCCAGCAGCTTCAGCGCCACCTGGCGCCTGCTTCTGGAACTGCTCTGCTAATTTTCTTAAGTTATCCAAGTTATCTGGCCCTGTAACATGCAACTCATTATAAATCACATCTTTTTTCCAATTCTTAATAATAATTCACAAATCCAAATTTGTAAATTACACAAAAAATTTCAACATACCAAGCTGGTTGAGAATGCCTGGGAGAATATCTTGCAACTCTGAAACAAATAATTTTTATAGATTTAGCCATTGAATTAAAATAATCAAATAAACATATATTTGTTCAGTAGTTAAATCGATAAACAATGAAAGCATGTCATATGCTTCAGTATTTAGCCCTTTTTCAAATCTTGGTAACAAAAAAATGATATTATTAAACTAGCCTAAAAAATATAATGATTTAATCACTAAGGAAATGGTTACTTGACTAAATAAACAAAATGGTTATAGACTTATAGTACAGTAGATTTTTTTTTGTAATTTACCGTTTAAAAAAATACATGTTTATACTTTATATAATCAAACACAGATATACTTATTGAAAGTAAGGAACCTACTTTTTGTTTGGGGAGAACCACTAACAACCCATGTATTGGCAGCAATAGAGGCTTGAACTAAAAAATAGATACAAATGAAAAATGTCAGAAGCTCAAAATGTCAAGATACTTGAGAAATAAAAGAACAAAAAGAAATGACTTTATTGATAAATTTAGTACCTTTAGGGTTTAAGAACTGGATAACTGTTTCATCCTTAAAAATGTTAACTTCCTCAATTGCTGGTATTGCGTTTACACCTATTCTCTTCAAAGTGCTTTGCAGCCTTTTGTCATCTGTGGTAGTTGTTTTATGTACAGCCTTCTTCTTTCTAGAAGCAAACAAACACAGCTTTGATCAAATAAACTGTCATGAAGTTGGTTTCAAAAACTTTGCATCTGCTTCAACTTAAAGTTAATACTTTATATAACTAAATTTATGTAAGTTTGTTTACGCTTTTGAGCTTAATCAAGGTTCATGTTTAAACCACTTCGATTTAAGAAACAAACCTTCTCACGCTACCCTTCCCACCAGTGCGAACTGCACCTGCCATCTTTTGTAGCTTTTCCACATTCATCTGCCATGAATACAGATAAGATATGTGAAGTGATTACCAATATCTAATTGCGAATCTAAGAATTCCTCGGAAAAAAACCAACAGCATAAACATTACAAACGCAAAGGCAATGGTATATATAAATCCCAAGACTATTCGACAATCAGAAACACAACTTTTCCTGAGCAAGAAATAAAGTAAAATGATGTATGAATCCAGCAGCTTCAAAATCGCAGTTCATACTTTTTAAAGTTGTTGTGCGCAAAGAGATTGATAGGAAACACAGTTATGCAACTCGTATCATAAATCAAAACCACTGCCTATCACATGAATCGTTTAACAAATTAAGTATTAATTGAATATGAAATCTATGTACCTTGGCGTGGATGGATGAACTGATGCTCGAGAGTAAGGGAGGGTACTGAGATTCGAGATAGATAAAACCCTAGAATCGATCTTTCGATTTTATATATGGAGCCCATGTTGAGCAAAGTTTCATATGGCTACCTTCTACATCAGAAGAACTGCGTAATATTCCCCTTAATTTTCCTTTTGTAACTAAAAGCGTAGCCGATGGATGGTAATCTGGTATGAATTAAGAGTGAATATTTGGACCTCCGGACCGGATCGGATTTGGATATGAACCGGACCTAGATCTGAACAGTGAACCTGTAAGCCTCAACAAATCTGGACTAATGTCCATTAATTTATGCCAAACCAAACCTGGATATAAACCAAGATATTCAGAGATATATCCGAATACAAACATCCGATCCGAAATTACCTTAAATCTCGAATATCCAAATCTTTAGATATCCGAATTTGAATATTCGATTTATTGGATTCGGATTCGAATACTCATTTTGGCAATCTTTTTGATATTTAAGATATTCAAAATCCAAAAAATAAATAAATTTCCTATACTAATTTTGGCAATCTTTTTGATATTTTTGTATTTATCATCTAAAAGAGAATATGTTATCAATAGGAAATTGATATAATCTTATATGTACATGTTTCATATATATTTATCATATTACAAAGAAAACGGCCATTTAGATATACGTTTTGCATGAGATATCAATGTAAATATTTCAATATATTAAGGGTCATGTATATAAAACATTTTTCAAAAATTGTGAACCTATTGTTTGCGGTAACTTGAAATCCGATTTGGGATATCCAAGAAAAACAATTTGGAATTACAAACCTACTTTAAATCCTAGATAAAATTGCAAAAATTGTCCCTGTGGTATACAAATTTTTGGAGTTTTAGTTCAAACCCCGAGTTTTTTGGATCCATGGTCCTTTTGAAAGTGGTTTGTATGTGGAAATGGTCCCCGGATTTACTTTCGTTAAGTTGATGTTGTTAACCCTCATGTGCCTCCCACATGAGGGTATATTTGTCTTTTCATTTCTAAGGGACTATTTTTGCATCTCAAAAAAATATATTCTCATTTGTTAAAAAAAAATTAATACCTATTTATTTATTTTAATAATTAAAAAATAAAAGAGGTCTCTCTCTTTCTATATATATATATATATATATATATATATATATATATATATATATATATATATATATATATATATATAATATATATATATATTATATCAATGAGTAAATAAAAGAAACCTACCAAATTTGTTGTTTCTTTTCTAAACCCATTCACCACCTTCACCTCCATGTTTAGGGTTAGTGGTTATAAAAGAAAGCATTCATTCTCATCATTAACACCACCACTCCATCATTATTCATGCACCACCATTACCCCGCTATAGACCTGTGACATCCCCAAAATCACGGCCAGAAAAAACCAATTTTGTTTATGCTTTATGAAAATCAGAGTACTTCATTTTATAAAAAGGTTGCGGAATTTGCTCCCAGAAAAACACGATAAATACGTTATTAAAACATTTTCGAAGAAACGTATTTTTATTCATCTTAAAACGTTTGGGATGTCATCATTAATACAGAAACATAAGCATAAACAGAACTTACAATTATTTACACTAGTGATCTACATCTCTTTAAATCTCTCAGTGTAATGTCACTTCATTTCGTCACTTGTGGTATACATAAACTGAGTGGGTCAGGTTGGGAAACCTGGTGAGTACATAGGGTTTTCAACCCACAATAATATAATTATTATGTTTAATCAAACAATCAACCCAATTACCCATCCCCATTATCTTCTTTACTCTTTAAGGATTTAACCTAAGAGTCATCTATCCTTCATTCGTTTATTCCGAAGTCCCTTACTTCCAGGGTTCTAGGACTGGCACTAAATCCATAGCTGCCAATGTTCGTTCATAAAGCACTAATTCCATAGCTGCTATAGTCTATTCATCGGGTACTAAATCCATAGCTACCAGTCTTTATCTAATAGGTACTAAGTCCATAGCTTCCAATGTTCAACAGGTACTAAATCCATAGCTACCAACGTCTAACAGATACTAAGTCCATAGCTACCGGTGTTTGTCCCATAGGCACTAAGTCTATAGCTGCCAATGTATACTCACATCATCTTCTATCTCTCATCATTTATCTACCCATCATCATACCCAACATATTCGTATATATAAAATACGTATACAGTTTAAATCCTTTAAAACATGTATAAAACGTTCATCCAGCATAGACAGCAAGTATTCAGATAATATGCACACATAGCACGTAGTTTATATAAAATACTTCATATCTATGTGTAAGATGAAAGGGACTATGCACTCACCTGATTAGGTGGTGATTCCGAACTCAGAAAGCACTTCGTTATCTCAAAACAATTTTCCTCGACAAAACCTAGTATCAATACCACTAGGGTTTAGTTTTTAACGTTAACCACGACTAATTAATAGTTTAGCTATTATTACTATTATATAAGCGTTAAATAACACTCAATATAACTCATAATAATAGCCCAAATAATTATTTTAAGGTCCTAATAATGTTACTATAATTAAATAAAATCTATATTAAATATAGTATAGGCGTAGCTCACTTACAACGAGTTTTTATTAAAAACCGGGCTTCGCTGGAGCAGTGTTTCCAAGCCGGAAGCTTTTCTTCTCGGAGCCGTCGGGCGCTCCGGGGCTTTCTTCTCGTGCTAGGGAGGTTCCATAGACTTGGGAGGGGTTTAGGGAGGCTAGAGAGAAGTTAGAGAGAGAAAGAGAGGCTTATGGTGTAAAGAAAATATGAGGAGTTCACCCTTGTATTTATAGGAGTTTTATAGTAAAGTAGTCTCTAAGCTTCGTCCGTAACTTTTGCATACGAGCTCCGTTTTTGTCTGTCTTTTTACCGTTGAGTTCCTATTAATGAGATCTTCAACTTTCATTTAGACCTCGTTGGCTAATTCTCATTCTATCTCGGATTTACAAAACTGTATCGAATTCGTCGCGCTCGAAAAGTAAGGACTAAGCTTCGTCCATAACTTTCGCATACAAGCTCCATTTTTGTCTGTCTTTTTACTGTTGAGTTCCTATTAATGAGATCTTCAACTCTCATTTAGACCTCGTTGGCTAATTCTCATTCTATCTCAGATTTACAAAACTGTATCGAATTCGCCGCGCTCGAAAAGTAGCGACTAAGCTTCGTCTATATCTATCTCATACTATCTCCGTTTTCGACGTTCTTTATATCCATGCATAGGTAAAAATAATATCTACAACTTTCATTTTGGCTCCGTCGGCTAATTCTCGATCGATCATAAATTTAACAGTAGGAGGCGTTTAGACTGTTAAATGACCGCGAAGAATTCGTAACTCTTTCATACGAACTCCGTTTTCGTCCATCTTTTTACTATTGAGTTCCTATTAATGAGATCTTTAACTCTCATCTAGGTCGCGTAAGCCAAAAACCGCTCGAACTAAAATTCGAGTTTCGGGTTGTACACTACTAAGCTGAAACTTTGAAAAATCATAACTTCCTCATACGAAGTCAGATTTGGGCGTTCTTTTTACGGATTTTCTCATTTTAACATACTCTACGACTTTGGTTTAGATAACTAAGGCTAAAAAGTCTTCTATCATAAATTCACTTTTTACGCTTCCCGGTGCCGTGCCGGTTTTGCCGTAAAACTTCGATGGGCCATAACTTCTTCGTTATAACTCAGATTTCGGCGTTCTTTATATGTACGGAAACCTTGTGACATATACTATAACTTGGTTAAAATTATTATTTCTAAATAATATTTTGCCGAAAATTCATTTTCGACCCATATTGCCTCTAAATTGACTAGCCCGGATCTACGGGCGTTACAATTCACCACCGGTAGCCTTGGACCACCGTAAATCACCACCATTGGCCACCATATTTGACCAAAAGCCCCCTCTTTCCCATCTCCTAGTCCGATAATCAGTCACCACCACCGTCGTTGTTGCTATGACCATCCAACACCACCTAACACCATCTTCCAGCCAAACCCACCACCACCAAACGCCCATCCCCACAACTATTGTGGAAATTGCGACCAACACCAGGTCCTTACTGTTCCCTCTCGTTTAACTCTTCAAAAATATTAAGGAAACAATGCAGCAGAAACCGATTTCTCAACATCTTCACCCTTTGAATTCAAAGGGAAGAAAGAGAACTCCTTACTCTAACCCGATTCAACGTCATTGACCAAAGCAAACCTTTTCCACATCTGTAGCTACTAGAAACAATACCCAATCTTAGCAAGAAATCACAGAGACGATGGCAGTTGTGGTTCTTCACCAACGTTTTTTTTAAGATTAAACTTTGAGAAACTTGTAAACGGAGGCAACAAACGCTCGTGAACCGTTTGGAAAACCGGTTTTTCGACGATTATCCGATTTTAATCTTTATGGGTCGTCAGAAATCCAATTATCAGGTTTCAAGGTTGAAAATGGACGCCACAGTATAAAGGGTACACCGAAGATGAAGCTATAAAAGCTTGATTTTCCACTAATGACAGATAAAACAAGGGACCAAAAGTGGAAATATGTGTTTGATTTCGAGTGTCGATAATTTTGGGTGATTTAGCATTAGGAGCTTGGTTCCTTGGGCTTAAATAGCTTCGGGTGTTGCTGCTTCTTTAGTTTCTTGATGTTCTTTCTGGAACACATCCCATTTTAAGTGTGTTGCTGAACACAATTTATCAAGAACTCAAAAAAAATTAATCTTTTTTGTCTTAAACTCAAAACTCATGAGAGAGATAGGGGTACCTCTTTTATTTTTTAATTATTAAAATAAATAAACAGGTATTATTTTTTTTTAAATGGGGATATATTTTTTTCAGGTGCAAAAATTGTCCCTTAGAAGTGAAATATACCCCTCATATGGGAGGTACATGAGGGGGTTAACAACATCAAGTTAACGGAAGTTAAACCCGGGGACCATTTCCACATACAAATCATTCTAACAGGACCATGAATCCAAAAAACTCAGGGTTTGGACTAAAACCCAAAAATTTACATATCACAGGGACCATTTCCACATACAAATCACTCCAAAAGGACCATAAATCCAAAAAACTCGGGGTTTGGACTAAAACCCCAAAAATTTGCATACCAAAGGGACCATTTTTTGCAATTTTGTCTAAATTCTAAACATAAAAATCCCTTTATTTGCATCTAGGGGTGCAAACGAGTCAAACTACTCGTGAGCTACCCGGGATCGGATCGTTAAAAGCTCGACTCGAAACCGATTTTAAACGAGCCCAAGCCGAGTTCAAGCTTAATATTAAACTCGTTTAATAAAAGAGTTCGAGCTCAAGCCTATGTCACTAAGCTCGATTAGTCGCGTGAGCCTAAACGAGCCTCTATATAATATAATTTAGACAAAAATGCAAAAATGGTCCCTATGGTATGCAATTTTTTGGTGTTTTAGTCCAAACCACAACTTTTTTGGATTGATAGTCCTTTTGAGCTAGTTTTTTTGCATTTTTAGTCTCTCGATAAACTGAAAAGATTATTATGCCTTTCTGATATATTTTTTATGCTTTTTCTATTTAATTTAAAAGAAAAATAAAATATTTACCTAATTTGGGACCCATATATATATATATATATATATATATATTATATATATATATATATATATATATATATATATATATATATATATATATATATATATATATATATATATATATATATCCCCTGTGTAAACCCACCCCCGACCTAAACCTCGTTCATATGCCTCTCTCTCTCTATATCTATCCGTGGCAGAGTTTGTACCTTTAAGTAATTTGTTGTTGTTCTTGTTAGTATAATTGTTCACTTTTATCTTTAAATTGTTTTCTGAAGAGGGGTCAAGAGTCAAAACGGGGGAGAATGTGGGGATTTGGGGACAGATTCTACTGGGGGAAGACAAAAGAAGAAGAAAGAAGAAGAGGACTATACAAAGGTGGTGGTTGGACTGCAGTGACGAGTTTGGTACTCTGATTGTTAATTTGTATGTGTTCTCCAACCCTAATTAGCTTCTTCTATATCCTAGTCTTCATCTGGTGTTATTCCCAATTCCCGATTTTAGTTTTGTACTCCGATTGTTACATAATTAATATCAGAGGTCTTGTATCCCTGGAACGTTGTTTCCTTGATCAAATTCATGGTTCAATCTTCAAAGTATCTGGGTGGTGGCTGGACTGCAATGGCGAGCGGCGACAGTATGTGGCAGGAGGCTGCTCCAATGGCCTACTGTTACTCCGTGTTTGTTTCTATTCCAAAA